CCAGTAGAGGTGTCATGCCGGTTGTCATAACGACACTAGAGAAGAAGCATAGTGCTGTTGCAGGGCGTTGACAACATGATTTATACTGGACAATCATTAAAACTGATACCCCTATGTCTTGACGAGACTAACTAATCCTGATACTCCACCAGAGTATGTTTTTGAAATATGCCCTAAAGGTGGGACATCATCTGAAAGCATACCAATAGCTACAAGTGAGCTGATTTCTTTACATCTGATGTTTGTTTCAAACCTTCAAATGTGGAACGTTCCTCTAAGAGTAGTACTCACTTAAAAGCGAAACACTGCACTGTCTTGAATACACATTACAAGCAACATAAGGAAAATACAGGAAGTGTCGGCACATTAGTAACAACATCGCCTGAGCCTTAGCTTGGCTTACACCATACCTTTCTCCCATTGCACGATTTTCCGAATATACGATATGACATGTTGGTATGCTTCTCGATGTAACGTCCCCTGAAACAGAGCATTTGAGCATATCGAAACTGCCACCACAAGAACTAAATAACAAACTTACTTAGCCGAACACCAGATTACAACGAAATCAAATGCGTACCCATTTCAACATTTCAGTGGTGTTCGTCCTGCGGCCACCAATAAGCGATCTAAAGTCATCGCTCGTTATGCTGCTAACCCGACATTTCTACTGATGAATAGCTCCATCCAATCTCCCAGCCTTTCCTCTCAGCGTTCTCTCGCCCACCCGAAAGCCATCTGACCATATGGCTTTTGACGACCACCAGCTAACCAGCAGTGGCTCCATCGGACAGCTCTCTGACCACCAGCTAACCAGCAGTGCTCCATCGGGCAGCCCTCTGACCACCAGCGGCCCCAGCCGAGAGCCCTCTGACCACCAGCGGCCCCAGCCGAGAGCCCTCTGACCACCAGAGGCCCCAGCCGACAGCCCTCTGACCACCAGCGGCCCCAGCCGAGAGCCCTCTGACCACCAGCGGCCCCAGCCGAGAGCCCTCTGACCACCAGCGGCCCCAGCCGACAACCCTCTGAACACCAGCGGCCCCAGCTGACAGCCCTCTGACCACCAGCGGCCCCAGCCGAGAGCCCTCTGACTACCAGAGGCCTCAGCCGACAGCCCCCTGAACACCAGCGGCCGTCGGGCGCACCTGGCCGGCACCCTCGGCGCTTTTGCCCTCCTCCGAGTCGGTGGTGGCCCGTGTGGTCAGCCGATTGCTCGGCTTCTCAGAAGACTGGGCCGACGAGGAGCCGGCCGACTGCACCAGTCGGCTCTTGCGGTGCTTCCCCAGCGAGCTGGCGGCGGTCAGGACGGTGTCATCGGTAGCAGCAGGCCGTTCCCAGCACGCCCTGCTGCCACACACAGTTATCGCGGGCGGCGCGGGTAGGCCACGACTGTCGGGACTGGTACGGTACAGCTGCTAGGTGAACATCCGCGGGCCACAAACATGGCTACTTGCGCCGACACGCACGGCACGGCGGGCACCTGCAGGTCAGGGGGTCACCAAACTGAGGGATGCACTGATACGCACGGCACGGCGGGCACCTACAGGTCAGGGGGTCACCAAACTGAGGGATGCGCCGACACACACGGCACGGCGGGCACCTACAGGTCAGGGGGGGGGGGGCACCAAACTGAGGGATGCGCTGATACGCACGGCACGGCGGGCACCTACAGGTCAAGGTGGTCACCAAACTGAGGGATGCGCCGATACGTACGGCACGGCGGGCACCTACAGGTCAAGGTGGTCACCAAACTGAGGGATGCGCCGATACGTACGGCACGGCGGGCACCTACAAGTCAAGGTGGTCACCAAACTGAGGGATGCGCCGATACGTACGGCACGGCGGGCACCTACAGGTCAGGGGGTCACCAAACTGAGGGATGCGCCGATACGCACGGCACGGCGGGCACCTACAGGTCAAGGTGGTCACCAAACTGAGGGATGCGCCGATACGCACGGCACGGCGGGCATCTACAGGTCAGGGAGTCACCAAACTGAGGGATGCGCCGATACGCACGGCACGGCGGGCACCTAACGGTCAGAGGTGGGTCACCAAACTGAGGGATGCGCCGATACGCACGGCACGGCGGGCACCTACCAGGTCAGGGTGTCACCAAACTGATGGGATGCGCCGATACGCACGGCACGGCGGGCACCTACAGGTCAGGGGGTCACCAAACTGAGGGATGCGCCGATACGCACGGCACGGCGGGCACCTACAGGTCAGGGGGTCACCAAACTGAGGGATGCGCCGATACGCACGGCACGGCGGGCACCTACAGGTCAGGGTGGTCACCAAACTGAGGGAAACATTGCTAGATGACCGTTCACATTTCATTCTTTACATCAAATCAAATTATATCAAATTACAGAGAATACACCAGCACAACGACCCTAGACGCAGTCCAGTCTAAGCCAACAAGTATGCATGCTTCCCACTCAGTTGGTGCAATGCAGTTTACAAGTAGCTTAAATCGATTCAGCTGTGATATATCCACGGCTCTAACCTTTCATTTGGGTGACTTCTGCCAGACTTCGGGCCGCAACCATTGTTTGTTATCATAATATAAGGACCACCTTAATACAGTTTGACAGACCTGTGACTTAAGCATATATCCCAGAGACAAAACGTCGGGGAATCCTCGCCTCGCTTCGGGGCGAGACAACAGCAAATGTTGGCGTCGCTTGGTTTTTGTATCACCACACCGACAAATTAACGGCCACATCGTTATGAAATCGTCAATATTATTAAGCAAATATTTGACAACTTTGATGAAAGCCCAACTTCGACTGGCCCTACACCACACCAAGGTGGTGTCACAACAGCCAGCCGATAGTATTCGGTTTCTGGCCCCGTCCGCGTTCGTGACTGCCTTTAGTGGACTACGGCTTGCTTATTATTTCCAATATAGGTCATGGGCTCATGGTCGCACAATATGTCTCGAAGTCAGGATACTGCACAGCATAGCGGGCCACAAACGGTTCTTGGTACCACGCAGGTATTCCGAGGTTGCTGATGGAAACCATCGCAAACCTCATCGGGCCTTCGGCTTCATGGTCAACCACTGCTTGCATTGCGTCTGTGATAGCTGCGAAGCCCGGCTCTTCCTACCTCAAGTCATGGCGACGTCACATAATCAAACCATCAGCGACTTTTAGCATTTTGTGCCTTTTACATGTGACGATGCGTAATCATTTGTGACACCACTGCGTCACCGGGTCACGGCACCCGTCAATGACTAAAACCAAGTAGTTTATGAATCCTTAATGAAAAAGCAAAGCAGTGGGTACAGGTACTGCGCATATCTATATATTATATACCACCGGACGCCCACGCATGTACCGCAACAGCTAGAGAGTCTCGCCGAGACGGATGGCATTGTTTCTTGCGAAAAAGGGTCCGGTAACTGATTTGCACAAATCACCAGAAAATGCAGAAGATTTTGCTCCCTTCCAGGCATTTTGTATTAACGGATTTTCGCCAGCGAATTCGGCGGTCATTGAACTGCCCAACGCACCCGTGAATATCCGGCTAGCCCTATTCAACATAGCAGGTTATGTAAATTGCATGTAGGTCAAAGATAGCTCCAGGCTCTGGTTCGCGGAGCCGCAGTTATCCTTCAACAGCTTCGGATACGGATTCTGCTTCGAGCCAGGAACAGCTGACTTCCACTTGTTCGACTTCGGCCTCAAACAAGTTTTGAATTATGGCTTCGCCTTCGGCTCTATGCGAACTTGAACTGCTGGCTTCGGGTGGTTTTTACTGCAGCTGATTTGCTTCGAAGAAACGGCCTTGCCTGTCCCCTCACGTCAGTATATCACACAACTTGTTATGGTGGCGACACCTACATGGTTAAGTTTACAGCCACCGCCCTCAGCTTCGGCTTCGCGTTTACAAAGTTCGAAGCCGGTGGCTTCGAATTCGGTTTCGCGGTCTAAAAACAGGACGCCACTATTTAACGCTACAGGGTCGTTCTCGCGCGTCCGCGCCCGCCACCTGGTGCTGGCTGCAGCGGCCAACGACGCTTGGTTGGACAAAAACTGCAACCCCGTGCGTTGATGTTCTTGCTCCTAACGATTGTACGCTCGCGGGTCCAAAACTTTTTCATGTAACCAGTTGAATTACTTGTTTCTGGAAATGAAGGACGCCTCCAAGTAAAATATTGGGTGGGTGTATCACTACAAGTTTTTGACCTTGTTTCAATCCATCCTTTTGAAAACAAGAACCAGGCTATGTATAATAACTCACCTTACAAAAGAACAATCATTTATGAATTTCATTTAGATTCCTCAGCCTACTGCACTTCCAACCACCATCATTTGTTGCGGAACGGTCCGCACTATTGGTAACGGCAAATGCCACGATCTGTTGCGGCCAACCGTGATGGCCGGCACCCGACAGCACACTCAGCGCTGATACAGACCACACGCTCAGCGCTGATGCAGACCACGCTCAGCGCTGATACAGACCGTACACAGTATCTGCAGTGGTGTACTCGCGCGGTGCGGACAGGATCAGATATCAGTGTTATCATTTGTTACTGCCCAGTTGGCACGGTCCGCACATTGCAGGATACATATGTCATCTTAGGCGAAACGGGCGGCCGACGTTGACGCAGGCAGACCAAAAGCGGGCACATCAGTTATTGCGGGAAAGTTGGCACGGCTTGCACTGGCAGGCCACACATTTCGCATTTCATGCAGCTCGGTTGCCGAGGACGGCCTCGGCAGGCCAGGCCATCAGGTTCCGAAGGAGCAGCCGCCACAATTACAAAAAATCGCGATGACTATTGGTTAGTTACCGACATCTGAACGGCTTACATTCGCTAAATGAGCAACACACCGATCGATGGAAATAGCTCGCAGGTAACAGACGTCATAGCTTAGCACGACAGTACCCTAGAGGTATGAATCGCTTGATGGGCGATAGGGCGCCTGACTGGGGACTCGTCCACGCGGTGCACGCGGTCAGGGCGGAGCGCCTCCGCCAACACTCCCCCCCCCCCCCGCCCGGTTGCATGTGACCGCGGTTTGACACCGGAGTCACATTTTGGAGCGCCCCGTTCGCGCCTGCGGTACGGCACCTGGCCGCTTCTCCACGGCCGATACCACGCCCTCCCGCGGGCGGGTCGCGGGGTGGCGCCAGCTGGCTACCGCACCTCGGCTCGACACGCCGCTGAGGCGCTCCGTCACCAGGAAGTGGCCCATCTCTCGCACTCATCAGCCACAAAGCACCGGCAGGCCACATACGTCTCTTCAGTGTTCTTTTTTTCTTCATATGAGCGGCCTAGCGCGGCCGCGGTGTCTGGCCAGTGCACTTGTGCGGCAGCAGCTGACCGCCGTTTGGTGACGTCACTGGCCGCTGCTGGCGCATCTCCACGTTGTTAGGAATGCATTCATGTTAACGTCACGGTTTCTGCGTAATTTCTGTATTCCTGATCTTCGAAGCCCGATCTATGCGGAAATCTTGCCAGGCCGGAAAACGCGCGGTCCGCTTCACGACAGGCAGAGTACAGGCATTCCACCAAAGTATTTCGGAGACATTGATTGTAATAAGTGTGACAATTTTAAAAGATTTAATACTAACCGTCCCAAATTGGCAATAGTCTTAGCCTTTGTTCGATTCCGGAGCGCTCAAGACGTGAGATCAGTTTTGGTAAGATTGCTTCAGGTTGGCTTCTGTTCAACCATGAATTGGTTTCGCTGAGAGTGCTTTACAACCGAGGTCGAAGCTAGGCGGGGTCACTGGATTGTGCGGGAGTAGGAGCTGAACGCCATCGTCATTTAAAGTTTTGGTCCCTCGTTACTGAAACGCGCGGATAAATCCCTTATGATAAACCAGAAACAGCTCAGAGCCCAGTGAAGACCCCTGCACGACGCTGTATTCGATCCATCTCAAGTGGGTCTGCGGGTAACAACAGTCTGGAACATAACATCCATGCTCTAAACCCGGTCTGGTCTATCCGTGTGGGCCGCCTTCTTCTGCCAGTCATCCTCCCAGTTGCTCTATTGGCAGTGTCCAACGCCATCGAACGCCTTGGACGCGTCAGCGTAGGTCGGTAAGGACCTTGTGTTGATGTTGCCTGCTCGGCGCTCGACAGCGTTCGGCAGTGTCCCCTTCGCGGAGCGCCCAGGCCAGACCATGCTGATGCCCTGATCACGTGGATGAGCTGCGAGCTTAACTGCGCACGTAAGATGCGAGCCGTAACTTTGGAAATAATCCACAGCATTTAGGAAGCCATTCAGATACCTGCACACGAGAAGCCCACTAATTTGGCTTTGGGCGTGATGAAAGTCCATAGTCGTGATCCATGCTCTCGGGAGCCGGCGCAGCCCGACGATTTGCGAAATGTGCGAAGCGCGGGGCCCGTAGAGAGGAGCGGCGCCGCACCTGAACAGCGACGCAGCCTTCACCACGTACTCGAGACGGCAGCGACAGTGGCGGCGCAAGTGGGAGCTCCGGCAATGCCTCGACGCATTAAACCGCTTATGTCCCGAGCTCAGCCACCCGCTGGTGGGCTTGGGGCCAGCAAAAGCTACCTATACGTGAAACGAGCATCATCTCTCATTCTAGAACCAGTCGATCTAGCATCCAAGTTACCTGCGCCTCTTAAACGTGCATACATCGCACGTGACGACGTGCACAGCGTGTAACGTGTGGCTGACTGCATCATTATAGCTTCGTTGCATTGTTATCCTATATGGTAAACATTCCTATCTATTCTTTCTTCATTAATAGATCCGGCCTTGCATATCATACATCGAGTACATTTGTATAACACAACACAGTGTTTGCAGCTGCGCATACGCCTGCAGTTGTCGGCAGGTGGCTGGTACTCTACGAGCCAAACAGCGTACTGACCTCGTCTCGCTGCCGCTGGGGAGCGCGCTGTTCTCCTGCGAGAAGCATTCCCTGCTGGCAGCTCCGGTGCTGCAGCTGCGGCAATGGGTGACGACTGTCAGCGACCCATCAGCGGAACCACAGACGAGCGACGTTCGCCGTCGGTTCAACCGCAATCCCTCTCCAAGGAAAACCGGCAACATGCATATGAGATCTTCGGGATCAACAGGGAATGAGACGTGGCCTTGGAGCGATAACTGGGGGAGGGGGCGGTCTTCGGAGAAGCCGCCCTCGATTGCTCGGGTCCCAAAGCGATCGGTCATCGAGAGCTAGCGGGGACAGACCCACGAGGCCAGCGCGGCCTCTCCTGCCGTCAGACCAGTCTGTCGACACCCTCTCCCACCTCTGCTGGTTGTTGGTGGACGGCCCGTAGGCCGAGTCGCGGTTCTCCGAGGCGCCCGTCTCAGAGTAGTCCTTCTCGACGGCCGACTGCTTGACGCCGTCAATCTGCTCGTCGCACATGACCACCTGTCGGACAGCGGCGCCGTCACCGGCTGGCGGCACCCTCTGGGACGGCCACCGATCGGGGCGGCCGCCGATCAGGGACGACCGCCGGTCAGGGACGGCCACCGACCAGAGACGGTCACCGGTCAGGGGCGGTTACCGATCAGAGACGGCCACCGATCAGAGACGGCTGTCGATAAGGGACGGCAATCGACAAGGGACGGCCACCGGTCAGGGACAGCCACCTGCAGCCCGGCCCGGCCTGCCGCAGCGCACCTCGCCCCGTCCCCAGTTCAGAGGTACGGAGTAAATATTCCGCTGGCGCCGTCACATTAACCAGCAGAAAAGGTTCCAACACTTGCGGCCACGCCAGTTGCGTGCAGCCATAACTGATACAAGGGAAACTATCTATTTGATGGGAATACAAATGGTAGACTCGCAGAAACTCAGAGAAATTCGACATGACCTTACTGATTCGTTATTTGCACAAGTAGAGTCCTGACCGCTTTGCTATGATCTTCTGCTGGTTTTTATGACACAACCAGCTGCGTGATCTACGTGGAGGCTAGACCAGGTCAACCCACGGACTGCACTCCACTCAATTAACTGGTCGTGCTCAGATGCATGGATTCATGAGCCGTGCCGTGAGCCTTGATATATCTACATATATATATATATATATATATATATATATATATATATAACGCATATAACCAGACCCCGACCAAGCAGCCCACCGACAATTCACCAGATCAATAACTCCAATTCGTTCCAGCGCCCTCTCTCCATGTCCGTATTCACCAGTCTGTTCTGTTTTAAACACGCTTGCACTTCCGCAGATCTTTCTAACGCAGATTAATACACCAGCGAATGTGCCACGCTGAGACCCAGCAGCAGTACTATGGGCACCGCAATGGCGGTAATGCATTTCTGTCGTGCCAGATGATTTTGCAATGATTCCACGTGGCGAACCCTCGTGAATCGCGGTGAAATCAGTCATCACAACTTATCGCTGAACTAGCAGCCACAAGTTAGCGTTAACGTTATCGCTGGCCAGGAAACCCCCGGCTGTCATGTATCACGTTGATCACGTTATACCGCACGCTTGCATCTCACGCTCCAGAGATGATCATGCAACTTGTTCTGAGTTCGGTGAATCTGAACAAATTTCGGATGCTAATCGCGCCAAGCACACGCGTCGCACATGGAGGCCCACGTGTTTGTCGACCTAACGCGGAAATCCCCAGTGTGATGAAGCAGGCCTGTTAGAGTGCTCGCTCACTTTGTGAGCATCTGCACGCAAGGAGAAAGAAACGCGGACACCGGGGTATGGATTTGAGCATGGGGTGGAGCGTCGCACTCTATGTTCTTGGGAGCCAAGGCAAGTCAGGAGTGGTCTAATGCGCATCTGTGATGTTTTTATGGTTAAAGGCACTGTTTCACACCTGAAGATATTGAGGCAAGCGTCAGACGTGATGAAACCAGCTCACTTATAGCTGTTGGTATGCTTTTAAGTAGAGAAGACTGCTGTAGACAAAACAGCTTATCTGTTTACCAAATATGTTCTTTGGTACGACATTATTTGATTATGTCATCGCATCCCGCACAAAATTGATTGAGTCAGTCGATGGCCGTCATATCTGAAAATCGTACTCACAAAAGCCAGATATGGACGACCGGCCAATATATTTTTGACCTTGCTCGGCGCATAGCTTATGCAGTGGAGGGATTTGAATGACGTTATTATGATGTAATGAATGCCAAGGTAACTTTGAAATACTCCCCCTCCCCTCCCCCCATTTCCGCGGGCGTACAGCTCCGAAACTAGAGGAGTCTAGGTCTTAAGAAGGGCAAGACTGTAAACTGCGCAGTGAGATCTTCAAAATGGCTATTTCAGTTCAAAACCCGCAACAATGTGGAACACTCCCTTTAAAACACAGGGGTCTTTTGAGCCGACGTCGCTGGGGCCGAGCCCCGGCAGCCCAGTGCTGGTTTAGCCCATGGGTTTAGAGAGGGAGAAGCGAAGTATGGAGGAAGCGAGGCAGGGATGGCAAGGCGGTGCTAAGCCCGGTCCTCATAGCACACGCATACGTACCACCCACTTCGTTTGACACACATTTCCAAAAATTGGGCGAGCCCGCGCCGGCCCGCTTCAGCACCCACTCCGTACCAAAAAGATGTACGGATTAGAGATGCAACTTTTCAGCGCGCCAACCGGCCAATTTCTAACCTGCAGAAGTCCGCAGACTTTTGGCTGGATTGTGGGCCAGACTTGGTGGGCTTTTGCGGGCCAAAAATTTCAACAGGCAACCTAATGCATTTTTTTGTTATTTCTTATTTTAAACTAATCCCAAAACCAGAGTGTGCTACCAAACACAAAATAACCACGAAACACACAAACAACCATGACACACACATTTTATTTTTTATAGCAAGAGCATCGGTGACAGAAAACCAATGTGCGCAGACATGACACACCAGTAAATCAGGTTGCACAGACTGAACAGTTTTAAGCAAACATCTCACTGACAAATTCAAGGAAAACGACCAAAATTTTCACAATTATGACTTAATTTCATTGCGCGGCAGTTAGGTGGGTCCTTGATACAACTAAAGCTACACTCTGCACTTGGCTGTTATTGTGAGGGTGCGGTGGACTCAGCATTTCTTGGTTTACACAAAAATCATACCACCCAAATCACAGCCTATATCCATGATTAATGAAATGCATGGGAAACCGCGAACCTGTCATTGTCCTAGCTTCGCGCACTTGCCAATCGACATTAAAACACCCTTGGACCCAAACGACAGAAATGCCGCTGTCCCCACTTCGGCTGTCGCTTCACCTGATGACCCTCGCGCGCCGCAGGCCCTTTCCATGGACACGCACTCTGCCGCCACGGTGGCTGAACAGCATCCGTCTCCGTCCGACGCCTCGGGTTCCGACCCTCACTCGTCTTTGACCGGCCCGGTACCTGCTCGCCCTGATGCTGACCCTCGCTCGTCTTCGACCAGCCCGGTACCCGCTCGCCCTGGTGCTGACCCTCGCTCGTCTTTGACCAGCCCGGTACCTGCTCGCCCTGACGCCGACCCTCGCTCGTCTTTGACCAGCCCGGTACCCGCTCGCCCTGATGCTGACCCTCGCTCGTCTTTGACCAGCCCGGTACCCGCTCGCCCTGATGCTGACCCTCGCTCGTCTTTGACCAGCCCGGTACCTGCTCGCCCTGATGCTGACCCTCGCTCGTCTTGGACCAGCCCGGTACCCGCTCGCCCTGATGCTGACCCTCGCTCGTCTTCGACCAGCCCGGTACCCGCTCGCCCTGATGCTGACCCTCGCTCGTCTTTGACTAGCCCGGTACCCGCTCGCCCTGATGCTGACTCTCTCTCGTCTTTAACCAGCCCGGTACCCGCTCACCCTGGTGCTGACCCTCGCCCGTCTTTGACCAGCCCGGTACCCGCTCGCCCTGGTGCTGACCCTCGCCCGTCTTTGACCAGCCCGGTGCCCGCTCGCCCCGATGCTGACCCTCGCTCGACAATCACCAGTGTTCGCCTCACTGCCGAGCCAATGCTGGATCATTTCAGCTCTAACGCTGTCGTCCAACCTCGTGGTGAGGAGGTGTCATTTCGAAAAATCAACGTTTTCTGGCCATCACGGCAAATTGAAAGCTATCTGCGGCCCATGCGACCTAAGACTTTGGAGGACCAGCAAACGCATCACTCATCATTCAAACAGCCACTCGCGTTCAAAACAGAGCTTTTCTCAAAACAACGGAATTCTGTGCCAAGCATGTAAGTTTCTCTTCACCCATATCCGGAACACCACCAAAGACACCATCTTCGCGCTTGAGTTCCGTTTCATGACGGCGAAGATCCTAGCGGAGCTCGGGAACGAAAATGTTTAACCATGTCCGACGGCTGACGACCTTCAGAGATGGCCAGCGTCGTGACACGAGCCAGCTTGTTCTGACCTTTGCTACCACCCGACTTACAGACACTCACAGCTGGTTACCTCCGTTGTGAGGTTGTTCATACCGAATCCATTGAGGTATTTTAAATGCCAGCGGTTTGGAAACGGCAGTAGGTACTACAAGCGGAGTGCCAGATGTCTCCAGTGTGACGAGACCCCTCACGAGGGGTCTGCCTGCTCATCACCCAAGAAATACCTGAGCCGTGGGAGCACTGATCGCGCACCCAATTCTTCTCAGTGTCCCATATGGAACAAAGAGAACGAAATTCGCTGTGAAAGAGCCAAGACAAGTATGTCGTATCCCAAGGTACGGTGCACTACAAGTCCAAAATGTCATCACAGTCCAGCAAAACATATGCACAATCAGCAAGGTACAATGGCCACATGACGAACACAAACTGACTGTTTTCCCCAGCCGCCTTTCCTGAAGCTTCTCAACCCCCGCACCTCTGTCTCAATTGAGTCGACCACGCAGACCCAGATGAAAAACACAATGGAGTCGCCCTTGGCTGAGCGCTCGGATGCCCAGGCGCCCACGCACTTCCGTCACCAGACTGGCCGGCGTTCCAGTCATCCGCCTATGCGTGATCCGCGCGCGGCTCAGTCGGCAGCCCGGTCCCCTGGTCGCCACACGAACGGTCCCTTACCTCCCACCAGCACGACACCAACCACAACACGCTCGAGCGGAGACCGTAGGCGCAACAGAGAACAGTGCGAATAAACGGGGCGCTCCCGCGATTCTAACACAGCACCTAATCATAACCCCACATAACAACACTGGATAGCGTCACCCATCGGCTACCGTACTCGTTAAGCTGTTGACCTCGTCCCGCTGCAATAGCCCTTATAAAACTCGTTCAACGTGGGCTGGTAAAGGCAATGCATTACCTTGCCATTTATAGCACATGACCACGAAATATAGTGATATGGCTAAGCGCGTATCGATCCGCCTAACCATGCATCTTGCCCGCGATGAATACGTCATGATACAGATCGGAGGCCCATGGAGACAAGTCTGCCATTTTAGTCAAGCGGCGTTCACATTGCCAACTTGACG